AATAATAATTATCCTACTGTACCATAGTGGTTACAAGAGCAATTGTCTTAATATAGAAATTAGACTAGCAGAAAGTTTAATGTATTTCAGATTCTGGAAATCTCACTGTAGTTTGGGATGACAGGCAGGCAAACCTCTTTGTAAGCGGGAGAAAGCCCTTCTTCCACATATTCCTGAGAAGTTCTAATCCATGTTTGCCCTGTTGAAAGGCAGAAGCTGATGAGGGATTGTAAACCAACTCATCCCTTCCCTCCCAGCACCCTACTACAGATGATACAAGAACAATTATGCAGATAAGAGAAAAGCTGAGACCATTTTCTCCCTTTTCCAACACTGAGGAAAGAGTGTCTGATCATTCTAAAACCACCCTCTTCTTGCAATACTTAGGAGAAAAGACCTTCCATTTGAGTCTACAGTGTTTGCAAGCAAGATTCAAAGCCAGAAACATTTCTTGTCTCATTAAGCATGTTATTAATGGATACTTAGTTCAAGTTCATAAAAATCTTAAGTAAATATTTGACAATAATCCAAAAGATTTAGAGCAACACCTATACACATATTTGTACATGCACTTTATTATTATTGCTAGTACCCCATAGAGTAAGAATATATTATTATGTTTTGTTACTCCTACAAATTATTCTAAAAGCAAGAATATTTGAAATATTGTATCTTGCTTCAGACCTTCATTGATATCTAAATGTTGCAAAGGGAACATCAGGAATGGCCTTTAGGTGATGAGTTACTTTGAGGACCTCAGAAGCAAAGGGGTAGTAGGGTGTGTTACCTGTTAAGGTATCACTTGATATAAGCATAGGAAACTGCCCTACAGGATATAGGTATGAATGACAAAGGAGACTCCCACTCCCACAAAGTTACATACCTGCAGTTTCTAATGTCCAAGAGTTTCTGCACAATAACCCAAGTACTCCTGATGGAACACCGCAAGTAAGAAAGCACATTTTAAAGAAAAACATCTCGGAATACACAAGATAAGTTTTGTGGTAAATATATGGAAAGGATCTCCAAGCTTGACAAATTATTTGAGTAGATCTTTCAGCAGTGTCATCAGTCTTTAGCAATGCTATAATTGAAAATCATACATCTGCCTGCTATTTTCAAAAAGTAGCTGCAAGAATGTGATATAACTTTGGTATTCAAATATTTTTTCTGAATTTGCATGGTTCTGTAGATCTCAGTGACTAGAGAGATAGGAGGTTCAGGAGCTCTCTAAAGATATGACTTGTACATGTCTGGATGTCTTTGAGAGTTATGATTCTGTCTGAGGGTTCTAAGCTTAGCAGAAATTAAATGCTTCTTTTTTGCGTGCACATTTCAAAGAGTTCTTTATGAATAGAAAAGGGTCAAACAGTAGATGAAATATCTGTCAGAAACAATTATTGCAGTAAGAAAAAGAGTAAGGAAAAAAACCAAACCAAACCAAAAAAACAAAAACATAAACAGGAAAAAAAAACCAACAAAAAAAAACCACAAAAACCCCCCCCCAAAAAAAAAAAAAAATCCCAAACAAACAAAAAAAAAATAAAAAACCAAAAACAAAAACCCTGAAATAATAATTCAACCAGAGGAAGAATTTACATTAAATACAAATGTGTGTTTCAGTTTCAAATGTCCTATTACATTTTTTTAGTGCTTGTGAGCCTAATGTACTCCACTCAAAGGCAGGCAGAGGTATCTAAGATATGTGCAGACAGCATGGAGACAAAAGACTTGTGGCTCAAGGTGAGCAACTAATATGCATTTCTAAGATCAGTAGAAAAAAAAATTTCCATATAAACTGTGCAAACATTGATTAAACAGAGACAAAATGTTGTGTAAAGGTAATTCTGTAGAATGTACAATGCAGAAGTGTTAGTAATAAGGGTTGCTAGGGGAGAGATCTGACAATTTAGCCAGCAAAATTCAATGGATTGTCATCTTTTCATCTTTATTTTGTACATACAATTCATGACTGTGCTACATCTGCTCCATTGGTCTTAAATGGCATGTCTAAACTGAAGGCTGCAGAGTCCTCTTGGAGATCCAGACACAAACTTGGCAGTTTCCAGACCATATGTCATGAATAGACTGGAGTACAAACCAACATCTCTTGCTCAGTTGGTACAGTTCCCAACAGAGAGCATTGCTACAGCTGTGACTTTCTCTCTGTACAGACTTTGGTGCCAGTATAAAAATTACTGTACTGCAGTAATGGGTGTACCCTTGGTCTTGTATGACCTGAAGCATAACTTGAATTTTTACCATTTACACAAGCAACCACTCAATCATCCAATACACTTAGTTACTTTTTAAAAGACTTATTTAATATACTTTTTCTTCACTCCACCTAGGTTAGGATGTTTCCCAAGATGTCTTAATGATGGCTGTAATGACATATTTTGTCACTTACAAAACTGAATACCCATTAAGAGTTTCACTGGATTTTTTTTCCATCTCCCTGAGTGAACATATTGCCATCTTCCTCCCAGCCCAATAACAATAATACTTTTTTACATTAATCCATCTTCCCTAATTATATGCTCTTAAGGCTGTCTTAGTCTTACGTGGCATGGTTTCAAACACCACAGAAAGAATTTTTAGTTGTCCTAGAATTTGGCATGAGTGGCAATTTGGTTGCCAAGCACAGGATGAGACCAGCCTATTTGCTGGTTTGTAGTATCACTTCAGTCCTGTGAAATGTGGATAAAATGCCAATGATATCACATGTATAAAAAGGGCATTATCATCCTTTTGAATGCACTGGCATTCCTCTTTCTTTTTAAAATGCTCTTGCCATGCATATTAATTTGTAGTCTATTTTTTTAAATTATTATTATTCAACTCTTTAAAGAATGAACAGATAATATTTCAGAGTTTTAACAAGAAAATTTTTTCCCCAAGACATGATAATTTGCTTTTTTGTTGTTTAAAACATTTTTCCTCACTGTTTATTTTCATTCCTTTCATTGGGCAGCCTCATAAACAGCTGCTTCAGCACACATCATTAGGGAATTGACAGAGAGCATTTTTAAAAACAGGGACTTTCTGGGGCACATTTACAACTAAGAGAAAAAAATATTTTCTCCTGTCAGCCAACTCTGTATAGAAAACTCCCCTCCCGTTCTTTCAGCAGATGTGGCCATGCTTTTACCTAGGCAAAAGTAAAAACTTGTCTCTATTCTATCTTTCACAACAAAAAATTTAGAAGGGAGTGCCTTAATAATATATTTTTACTTTAAGGTTCCTGTTAATTTCTTTGATTTCTTAAAAGCAGAACATTCAGGTATTACTGATTCTACTGGCAGTTGTGACTATCTTTATTAAGTAAGAAGTATTTAATAAGAGATAAGGAGTATTTTAACATGCATCCAATACTGTACAGGGGATTCACCAAAAAAAAAAAAAGTTTTTATACCAATATAAGAAATAACAAAGGCCATATATGAAACAAAGTGGAAGATAGATTAAGAAATAATGTAAATACAATATTGCAATTTAACTAGCTTCTAGTCTCCAGAGACGGCACCAGCTGCGCACCAAGAAGCTTAAGGTGTTCACCCTAATGATAGCAACACAAAAACATGTTTTTTTCAGGCCTTCACGTTTTTAGAATATTAACCTCTAGTGTGATGCCTTTAAGTAGGTCAGCCTCAATTCACTCACACACATTTTCAGTGCTGGATTCCCTCAGCCAGAATAGTGTCAGTGATAAAAATATGATACCCATTTCAGCCAATGTGAATGTCTGCCATGGATAACTCACCTTTTTGCAATTACCAGCTGAAGTAGAGGTTTTAACAATAGTTTTACCGGATGATAGAGGACTGCATTTTGTAATTGCACTGGGCAAGTACAATATGGCCAGAACAGGTGTTAGCTTAATTTTGCTCATCTGTACCTGCTAGCAAGTCTGGTTACCTTTGCACACTCATTCAATGTGGTTGTTCAGGGAAATCAGTGCAGATGGTGTGTCACTGTGTGCACTTGGAAAAGATTTTTACAACTAGAAGCCACTGCCTCCTGTCAGTATGAAAACTTAGTATAGATCACAACTGGAGTTTAACTTAAAATTATTTGTGGGCATATGCTCAGCACTTGAGGAAAAAACAATGAATAGAACATATCTTAATCCAGAAGTAAAATGAAAAAAATGAAAACAAAGTCTAAGAGGTGTCTGCTTGAATTTTATATACTAATGTCTTATGAATATATATTGTTATTTTTTTATCCCATTCCCAGTCAAAATATATTGTTTTGTACCAGAACTAATAAATCACTTTCCAGTAATTTTTTGGCCAATATCCTTAAAAATAAATTAATATCAGTACTCTTCTTTATAAACACAAGAAGTATGATTCATACTAAAAACAAAGTATAACACAATAAATTTCATAAAATGGGGGAAATACATGGTAGTTGAAACAGATAAGTAGAGGATTCTTTTATATCCATTTCATTTGGACGTGCAATATTTTAGACTTTGTAAAATATCAGTTTTAATGAATGACTAGGAAAGCATTTTTTTTTTGGGGGGTTTTTTTCTGATTTTTAACATTCTGTTACTCCAGCCACTTTGAATGTGTGCTGATACAAATGCCCTAAACAAGTGACAGGGCCAAAGCCATTGCCACTGAAGTAATGGAAGACTTACAGAAAGTATAAGAAGAAGAAAAAGAAAATTATGGTTATTTTTCCACTGAAAGTGTTGTTGAAACATATTTTGCTGAGGCTTTTTCAGTTTGTTTTGTTACAATGGTCTCAAAAATAATAATTTTTTATTAAGCTATTTTCATTTTAGCTATTTTGAGGCATTTCTAGTTTTTCTTCCTTGAGCTAATGCTGAATCATGCTCTTATGATCCATTGTATGCAATGGTTTTTGAGCATGGTGATGAGATTCTTTTTCCTGACTTTTCAGTAATATTTTATACGTGAAGATAATAAATGAAACCTATTAATAAAGCTAATTGATAAATATAACAGCCAATAAAGAACACTCACCTACTGTCAGTTGTCCAGTTAACTGTCCCATGTGATTTCTTGCATTCACTGTTACATTTCTGTCAGACTGTAAGACCAGTGGGCTATCCTGGGAAACATGTATGAGACAATAAATGAGAGAAGAAAAAATTGAGGTAAAATTACGTTAGAACTTAATATTAACATGCATGCTGAGAGGGAAGTTGTGCCAAGTATAACAGCCCTTTTTAATAATTTCATTAAATATTTTGCAAGTCAAATTTTTATATTAAAGAATTCCAAGAATACTATTTTAAGCTTGAAATCCTTGTGCATACAATCCCTGCTCCAGAAATCAGATTTGAACTTGATTTCTTTAATTTGTTTTAATTTCCTGTTAATATTACAAAGTTCCAAACTCAAAAAACCTTAATGCAAACCTGTTCCACTAGCCTTTCCCATATATTGTTAACCTGCACTTTTTTAACTACCTAACCAACACTATATTGTATTATTCCATTAATCTGCACAATCTGTAATATTTGCATTGCACTTACTAAAATCTTACAAACACAGACATGCATTTCTTTGAAGATAAAGAGAATTGTTACTCTCAAAGAAAACAATGAGAGCACTGGAAGGCAAGATCTTGTAACAGAGAGCCCTGATCCACTGCCATTAGTACTTTACAGGGATTTACTATTAGGGATCAAACTGATACAGCAAGGAGACAAACACTTTATGTTAAACACAGTCTTAACAATTTTGGAGTCAGTTGGCAGGATGACTGCCTGGCTTTCGGCATCCAGCTAGGTTTGAGCTTTTGAAAAATGTTTGCATATATAGGTGTAAGCTTATCCTGTGTTCAAAGCCAGCATAAACAATCCCAAAAATAATTGAATTCTGCTTCTTGAAGAAAGAGGAGCCAGATGCACTCCTTTAGGAGAAGCGCAGATGTGCAGGAAAGGGGAAGAGCTGCAACAGAGAGCCAAGAGAAACAGACTAAAAAAGAAGTGCAGGCTCACCAATCATGCTCTCACTGGAGTGGCGTGAGTGCATGAGAGAAGGAAAAAAGCAGGATTGTCTCTGCTGCTGTAGAGAGACACTTTTCTCCCTGAAGTCACCTGATACCATACAGTTCTATCCCTGAAGCATGCAGAGAGACCATGGGTACTGTAAAGCTTCTGGCAGTCTGCTAGCACTCAGTATGCTTACGTATGTTTATCCAACAGCATCAAGACATCTGACAGAAACAGGTGGGGAGTGCCTTAGGTAGGAATGACTAAAGGCTAGGAAGATATTTGGGAAATTTATTACACACTTGTTATATTCTTAGATTCTTCCCTGGGCATCCATTATTGATCATCCCTGGATTAAGCATGTAAGGTTAAAGAGATCTCGTATGTGTGTCTCTTAATAGGTTGGTTCTTGCTGTTCTTGAAAGTTTTTTAGATAAGAAGGAAATTACATAAGGAGACATGGATAAAGATTTTTTTTTTTACCTGAATGATGCATAATTTCTCTAGAATTTTCTGTACTTTACAGTCCTTTCCATTGTATTCAGAATTTTCCTGTACAAGAAACATTCTTCCCAGTTGTTTTCACTATGATTATTAACTTTAAATGATAATTGGTTCCCCGGGAAGCCTGAAATGATTCTGAGATAATTTCAAGGAGTTCAGGTGTATTTAATCTCTCACTGGACTATGCTATGACCTCTCTAACATCCTGCCAATTACCTCTGCTTCACAGATTCTGGCAGATGAAAGAGACTGTTTGGCTTGTCCATTTTTCCAGATAAAAAGATATAATTATCAGTGAGACATTGCGTTCAATTTTACTAGTTTGAGATGAACATGTGATGCAATCAAGGGAGCTTCTAGCAACAAAAGCAGCTGTTAAGGACCTTTTTCTCACCACTTGATTTCCACTTTCCTTATGGTCTTTTGAAAATCATTAGTCCAGGCAACTGCTGCTCTGGGAAAAGCAGTTGTCCTAATAGGCATCTGCAAGGCCAAAGGCTTTTAGGAGCCCTTTTCACTTTTGTTTAGTAACTTTTTGGTTAAAAGTCTTCTCAGTTAGAATAATCTTATCCTTATCAAGGGAGGATACAGCCATGCCTATTTTTGCCAGTTCAGCAAAGGTTTGGAAACTTCCGCTCACAAAGACTGATCACAGTCTGATCTGAAGGTTTCTTTCCTCTCACCATAGAAAAACACTTAACACAAACCTCAGGCTAAAATCTGCTTCCCATGTTCTAGTTTTAAAAAAAGAACCTTGGATATCAAATTATGAAATGCAGGATAATGAAAAATTAGGTGAAAAATTTGTATTATATAAAAAAATAAAAAGAGGGCTGAAGAAGTTAAGAACTTAAACCTATATTTCTCATTTTCTGATGACAAATATAGAGCAGCAGTCTTAAATACTGGACCAGAGGAAATGCAGTGGCAAAACTCCTATCAATTAAAGAAGTCCAGCATTTCATCCACATTGTTTACCTGCACTTTATTTTATGCAGGAAGTGCCTAAAGACAGAGTTCAAGAAATTCAAAAATAGTCTGCTCAAAGGAGCTAGACATTCAGATAAGACTTAGCTGAAATAAGTGGAATTATTGATCTGTAAGATGAGTATAAAGTGCAATGAATATCACTCATAGGAATACAACCATATCTAATGCATAATTTTCTCTCTCCATTACCAGACCTGTTACTCTCTTGATGCAAACTTCAGTTTACAATGATTTGTGATGCCATTTCAAAAATTACTCTGTAGTTAACAAAACCCAACAATATAAGAACATTCTTACAGTTACATAGAGCTTTAATAATGTCAATATGCTAATAACCAAAATATTACAGAAGGATACTCTCAGGGCCATGAGGGCTCTACCAGTCCTCACTGGCCCTACCAAACATCCCATGGAGGACCCATTTCAGTCCAGCCCCACCTGAACCACTTCTGGTGTGTTTGTGCTACTTGTCTCCCCCCTATAAGCCGCAAAGCATTACAACTTCAAGATTAAAGGTAAATCAGATTAAAATGTTACAATAGTTACTTCTTATCTGAAACAGGTTTACAGCTAGGATTCATAAAAGTAAAAACAAACTAATTAATTAAAATTTTCAGAAAGCTTTCTGAAATTTTAATCCTGCTATAAATACAAGGAAAATTTTGAGGAAAAAATGTTTGGTTTTAAAGTTTTTGTGTTTGTTTGGTTTGGCGTTTTTTGAGTAAGAATCACAGTTCAGTAATAAATACCAACTTTTGGTTTTAGAATTAGACAAGCATTTAATTCTAAGTATATGAAAGACTGATAGATTAAAATAATTTATAAAATCATTTATAAAATCATTTTACCAAAAAAATATTCTGCATGAGCAATCATAGCAAAACCCTTTTTTTATTTTCCACAGCTGGTTCAATTATTTTTAACACATTTTGGAAAAATGTCATGTATTTTATACAGTATTCAAATAGGCAATCCCAGCTAATTAGCTCAGTTTTGAAGAGTCTTTCCAAAATGAGCCTTTTAAATTAGAAACACTTTAAATGGAGCAATTCAATTCCAGTTAGTTTAATAAAACATTGGTTTACTTTAGGTAAGATGGTACACTGTATAATTGAATATATTCCCAAATTATGCTCAGAACACAGATAATTATGATAATACCACCAACTTTGACACTCAGGAGCAGTACTGATATGTCTACATTGTTATAGTGCAAGCAGTGGCTCTTTTATGATTTGATTTCTGTGCTTAGGCAAATGTAACACTTCAGGTCTCTGTACTTCTACATGGTGTCACACAGATGTAAAAAGTAATGTAATAAGCAGATAGGACGAGATCTGGCACACTATCTACTGGCTGTTTGTAAGAGGATGTAATGCTATATATTCTTTTATTTGAGCCTACCCCCAGTATGGGCAGCTAAAATAATTATGGCAGAAGATTTCTTTACAGAACACTTCTCAAACATGCCCTGATGCACTAGTGACTCAGAATCACCATTGCATTACCAAGGTACCTTTACAGAAAAAAGAAATCAGTATTAAATTTTGGTTTGCTGAGAAAATCACCATCATCAGATTTTAAGAAATACAGGGAATATGTGTCCTCACTGCTGCAGAGCACTACAGTCTGTTGCTTTAGAGATTCATGCTGTGGGTGCCACTGAACAAGTTGATTGTCTGCATCTGGTCAGTGACCCCGACAGAAGAATGAAAAATGTATGAGTTATTTGTCCACTCCATAGGAACAAAACGAGAACTACAAGAAATAGAAAGTACTTAGTACTCTGGTCAGGGCAGAAGACCAAAGGAGTCAAAGGACAGATCAGTAGATGTGCAATAACTACAGGGGCAACTGCAGTTAAGGCACATAACAAGTGTGAGGAATATCTTGGAGGAATTCAGTGCAAAATCTTTAGAAGAAGAGTATGAAAGACACAGTGTCAGTCAAGAAGGGTAGAAAGTAGAGCTAAGAAGATGTGAGAAGATGGAAAAACATTCCGTAGTTTGTCCATTGTCCAGAATCAAAGCATCAGCATGTTTTAGCAACATTCCTTGCAAATGGGGAGAGATGGAAGATCTAAAAAAACACACATATGTAGGGCTTGGAGTCTCAGAGGCAGACTTTTTCTATCATTAAGGTTATTACTAGCCCTAAACAAACATGAAGAAATTTGCATTAGGAAAGATGAAAGAAAAAGACCTACAAATGAAAGCAATTGCTGAGTTCTTGAGTACTTAAAAAATTGAAGGCTCCATTAAAACTGTTGGAAGTTTGCACAAGTCTGGAACTGTTAAAACACAAATTAAAGAAAACTATTCATCAAACTATTCCCACGATATTTTTTCCAAGAATATTTCCAATGTTCTGTTACATCAATATTTACCAATATTATTTCCAAGAATATTCTCAAAAAATTCCCAAGAATCTTCCCAAGGTGTTAGGACAGCAGGGACCCCAACACATGTGTTTTTCAATAGGGAGAAATTAAAATAATTTATTGTCTGAGTTATTCCTGGGCTGAAGAGTTAACATGAGTTTTGGTCCAATTTAATTAGATGCTTTTTTCTTATTTATAGAAATTTTCTATAGCTCTGCTTTCCCAAAGTTTCACATT